TGAGTGAGAGGAAATAGTGTTAAGTCAAAAGAATGAAGGAAAGCGTGCGAGCAGTCGCATGCCCCTTCCAAAGTGTGGTCGGTTGATTGGAGTCGTGAGGGAAGAGATGTAGCGATGAAGGAGGGAGGCGTAGAGCATCTGCGAACTGGCTGTTCGTACTTCGGACTGTTGGACTGGAGAGCCTTTCCAACACTCCTCCTGACATTGTCTATGCCATTGTCACGTTTGTGAGTGGGTGTGTGTGTTGGAGACATGCAGTTCGCATCGCCTTGTGCTCAAAAGTTTTGCCAAACTTGATGCTACTGCGGCTAAGAATGCACTGTAGAATAGCAGCAGCAGCATCAGCAGGAGGAGGAGGAGAAGGAGGAGAGAAACGAATTGTTGTGTGAGGTGAGGTGAGGTGAGGTGAGGTAGGTGATTGTTTTGCTGCGACTGTCAACCGGTGTCGATGGCTTCAACTCCTCCATAGGTGTGAATACTGACACTGTCTACTTTCTTCTCACCATTACAGCGAACGACGTGGTCGCCAACTGGTACCAGGAGGCATCTCGATTCAAGTACGGACGCGAGCCCGTCAGCATACAGGGGATTGGTGAGTCCAGATACAGCATCCCCTCACATTGATCCCCGACGTGCGTCACAGTGACATCTCTCCATGCTGCTCACCCAACCCACTCCCACTTGACAGCTCACAAGCTCGCAGTACCTCACGTGGCTGCCAATATTCGTAGTCTCTTCCTCCTTCTTCTTGGTGGTCCTCTCACCAGTCCACCATTATTTGTATTTGGTGGTGGTGGTGGGCGGGAGGGAGGAAGTGAGGGGAGGGGACTTATTGGACATTGAGTGTGTAGTGAGGAGGCAGGAGGCGGCACAGCAGAAGAGAGCCTGTGCAAGGGAGAAGTCAATGTCGAATCCACACCTGTGGGGTTGCCCTCCTCTGCTACCACGGTGTTGCAACTCATTTTTCACCTCCCGTTCACGAGTCACATTTTCTCACAAACAACTATGATGCACTACAACGTTGTCTTAGCTTCACCGATTTCACAGTCAAGGCAGCAGTGAGTAGCACTGACAGGCACTGAGATGCAGGTACGTCATCGCTTTGGGACATCTCCACAATTTATGATCAAATTCGCTCACACTAATGAGACCCTGTTTTAAAATTTCCTGTACGATGTTGCCTGGACACACTAGTTTGCATGAGAAGGGCAGCCTCTGTTGGGGCACAGGTGGAAGGAAGGAGGAGCGGCAAGACGGAATGATTACATTGTATCCACTGAAGCACACAACACTGCAGCTTCTACCATTTGCTGCCTCCTTTTCAGCATTGGCACAAGACGGCGGTGATTCGCAGTGCTGTGCACGATTATGCGCTTGGATGGATGCAATGTTTGTGCCACGCCTAATTGCCCGCTTTTCCGACCTCACTATGAGTGCGCCGCTGTCCTGTCTGTCTGGTCCGAACCCACTTTCACCCCGTCCTCCACGGGTCATCAGTTGTGGTGTTGATGATGCTAGTGAATGGGTATTTCAGTGTGGTGGTGGTGGTGGTGGTGATGGGGATAAAATCGAAGAATGGCACAAGGTGCAAGTGGCATTGACAGTGACAGTTGAGGCTTTCATTGAATTGCAGGCAACTTTACACAGATGGTGTGGGCCTCCTCTCGAAATTTGGGTGTAGGACGCGCCATCCGCGTTGCTCGAGACGAGGCGTCCACTTCGAGACAGACAACTCTCCTCTCCTCCAAAATCGTCATTGTCTGCTTCTACTTCCCTCCTGGCAATGTCGCCTCCTACTTCACTGACAACGTGCATCCTCCGCTGGCGGAGAAGGAGGCTTCCACTCGCCCTACCTCCAAACTCGCATCCAAGTGCTCACCCTCGCCTCCCAAAACAACTTAGTCTCCTGTTCTTCCCTCCTCCCTTGGCTCTTTCCTCCTCCTCCTCCTCCTCCTCCTCACACCCCTTTTCTTCCATGTGGCTCACTAGGCCTGTATTTGTTACTCAGTCTTACCAACACCACACCCACACACACACACACACACAGGTCCTTGCTCAATGCCACTCAAATACACGTATTTTGCATACTTCATCCTCTTCCCTGCCTCCCCTGAAATAAAAGATGCGCTAAGGAGGACGGTTTGGTAGGTCACGAGAGCTAGTACCTCCGTCACCGATCCCGACAGGGTGTAGAAATTGGTGTGGAAAGACTTGCTCATTTACAATCACTGTGCTCGTCTGGTCGGACACGATGGTGTGTGTTGTGACGATCACAATCAGCTACGAACAACAATCATCTCCTTCCTTCATTCCAACCCTCCCTCCTTCCCACCTCCATTCCTTCCTTCCTTTTTTCCTTCCTTCATTCCTTCCTTCCTGTTTTCCTGCTTTCAACTTCTAAACACCCATTTTGGCTAGCTACGCAGCTGGACTCCCTACCACCCTTTATCCCATGTGCACTTCGCTCGGACACATGTGTTAACCTGCACCACTGGACTAGTCAGCAAAGGCTAAATGTGGACGAGAGAGAAAACGCCCTATGTAGACGCTTGTCCACCACACCGAAGCAGTCAAAAGTCCTGCTTAGCCAGAAGCACACATATCGCCTCTTCTGTTTCCAAACCGAGGCTCAACAACTTCATTGCCTCCCTTTCCACCACTTAGTCTTCCTTCCCAATGCATAAACTTGCACTGTGCACTTTCCTCTCCTCCTTCGTAAGCAAGCGTCTACGCGGAGTTGCCTGTTCATTGTCTGCCCAAAGTTGTTCCACCTCCTCCTCCAACGCCACAACGAAGAGGACGCATCACAACCACAACCACATTCATCATCATCATTATCACCATGTGTCACAGAATTAGCGTGAGAAGACAGCCCATAATGTGAGAGGATGCACTGCCTTCCTCCTCCTCCTCCTCCTCCTCCTCCTATTTTTCCACGTGTCCATGCCTCAGCTCCCACACAGCGCACCAACGAGAAATCGCCTTTCATCGTCTTGGCATCAACCGCCTCATCAAACAATCGTTTGGGGAATTAAAAAAGACGGCACATGTGACAGAGGGTGGGTGAGTGGGTGGTTGGTTGGTTGACACTGCCTCTCCTCATTCCCACAATTTCCACACGATGCCTCGCACACAGTCCCACACTTCCTCGACATGGGACGTGCGAGGAAGTGAATAGCACACGGATACTGTCGTTACAGGTTAGGCTCAACGAAAAGCGTGCAAATGAAGTGCAATGCCCAGAGCGAAGTGGCATTTGTTGCTGAGAAAGTGTCAGAGGAAAAGGCAAGCATGTGGTTGAGGGATTACCAGTCAAAAGACAAGACATGCTAACTATGCACGGGTGATGGATTGCCTCCTCCTTGCCCCTTCACATCAACCAATCTGCTAGTCCTCTTGTGGCAGCACACCTCAAGTTGGTATGCAGCGAAGCACCTGATTTTCCGCCACAAGAAACCGATTTCATCAGTTTTCTGGATGGAAGTCTTTCTCCAACCACTGTCAATGACTGGGCAGATGTTGCAAAGTCTGTCCCACGTCTCATGTCCACGGAGCGATCAAACAGGACTTTGGAAGATTGAACACCGAACAATGGCAAGCGCACTAACCGTCTAAAAATTGTGCAGATTAGACCGTGTGGCGAAATACGAAGTCAGTTCATTGTAATCCACACTGAATTCACTTTGCAACAGTCCAAGTCGTCATGGTGGGTGACTCGCATTTCCTTGGCGATGCTGCAATGCTACAATGAGTGGAAGAGAAAAGATATGGTTGAGGCGAGTTGATTGGCAAGTCTCTTCTCCTCAACGTCGTGCCGGAGAATGTCCTGCGGTGTGTCCCACGAAAAAGAGCGTGCGTTTGTGACTCTGGTAATGCATTCGTGCCAGCGTCGATTTT